TAGACAAAGCACATTAAATAAACAGTCACATTTATCTCTAATCTAACTTTTTTATTTTCAATCTGTGTCCCACTGGGGAGCCATCTCATTACTTGCTGCACTGGTGACAGTGCTGTCATTGTGGCAGCAAAGTGGGAGGAGACACAAACAAATAAAAAAGCTTTTTTTCCTTACCCACTTAGTGTTTTATTGCCATTTCAGTACTTTTACTGGAGACAATGGGGTTGATTTACCAATGGCAAATAGACTGTGCACTTTGCAAGTGCAGTTGCACTCATTTTCCTTTGTAAATATAAACATTTTTTAGTGTACACGACTGGATGATGGAAATCAGCAGAACTTTGCCACATTTACTAAGCTCTGGTCAAAATGAGTGCAAGTGCACTTGAAAAGGGCAAAGTCTATTTGCCTTTAGTAAATCAACCCTATTGTTTTTAAGACAAGAAGAGAAATAAAATCTCTTAGTTAGGAACAAAGACAGTTAAAATTTTGCTTGGGTTCTAACCTTTCCAAGTTTTGTCTTGAGATATTCTTTTGTTGCCGAACATCTTTGTAGATGCTGCGATCAACTGAACATCAAAGACAGCAGTAGTTTGTTTGTAGACTTTCTTCAGAACAAACCAAACCACTTATTCATATACAGTAAATTGAACATACTGCACACAGCAGCTTTAAAAAGAACTTAAAATTCATGCAGTAACCAAATGTTTTTCATCTATTAAACTGCTAAAACTTACCAGATGTACTTATCCTGCTGCAAGGATGAATTTATTTTAAAGTCACTATAATTCCTTTTGTGTTATTTTTGCACCATGGATTGCTTTATATAATGATAGATTATTTGCTTCATTGTTTGAATATTGTAATTCAAAGTCACAACCTGTAAATGTGTGTGTTATTTTTGTTCAATGTATTCATTACCACAAGGCTTTAAGTAGATAAAAAATAATAATAATAATATGAAAATGTAATAAAACAATACAAAATATATTAATTTGGAAAGATCAGAAACTGATAGCAGCCAATCAAATATTTAAAGGATAATTTAATATATCTATCCAATTCTGAACCCCACTCAAACCTTACCCACTTGACCTCCGGAAGATTTACCCCCCCTTCATAACTAGGCCATTTTTAGCTTTATGGTTATGGAACTGCGGTACTTTAAAAATTGCGAGGCTATGCAACACTGTACATAAACAAAATGTATATCATTTTTTTTTCACACAAACAGAGCTTTCTTTTAGCGGTATTTGATCACTACTGGGTTGTTTTTTTTTTTTGTGCTATAAACAAAAAAAAGACCAACAATTTTGAAAAACAAACAATATTTTTTACTTTCTGCTATCAAAGATATCCCATAAAAAAATTTAAAAAATCATACGCAGAGCTTTGTTCTGTTTTTTTTTATTTACTCCTCACTGATCAGTTGGTGCTGGTAGTCATCCATTGGCTGGCACCAAAAATACAGAAAAATACTAATTAATTGAGATCAAATCAAACTGGCGCTAGTGGAAAAAAGATTAAAAAGACCCCATATATCATTTTGATATTGTTATTCAATATTAAAGATGAGAAAAAAACATGTAAAGCTTAATTCTAAAGTCTAAAATAAAGTAACTACACTCTTTATATTTTCTGAGTGATTTTATTTCTTTAATGCAACCTAATAACTTTACAAACAATGTAAACATTCCTTTATTAAGCTGAATAAACAGCTTTTATTTTTTTCAGAACTTATAATATTACAATAAGCAGTGTGCTAGTGTATGTGTATTGTGGCAGTGCGGTGTCCTGCCACGGTCAAACTCAAGTTGAAAACCCTGGATTCTCAACCAGGCAGGTTGAGGGGCCAGAGAGTTAATTTATTGCAGAGGAAACTGACTTTTCGGTTTCCTCATTTATTCATTAAGTTTGTTTTTTGGGGATCTGGAGCCTGGAGATTTCAAAGAGATCTGGGAGGGATGAAATCTCCAATCCGGGGTCCGTGTTTTTGAGAACCCCCAGCACACTGATTGCACAGGTGTGTGCAGGCCTTTTTGTAGAGGCCTAACCAGGAGGGCTCCACCCCGGCAAACGGAGTCAGGAGGGCTCCACCCTGGGCAGACAGGGGGTCTCTGCCTTGGAGTCAGGCGGAAGCCAGACTAGCTGTGTGCTAGTGGCTATAATTTGGGAAGAGTCTGCAGGAGACAGACAGTGAACTGTGTACAAGCCAGGAGGCTGAATCTTTGTTGGTATTTCTTGATGGTGGATACCCCTGCGTGGGAAGCATTTGTGTTATGTGAACTTTCTTTTAAATAAAATTGGGCAAAAAGGCCCTTAAAGAAGCGAGTTGCTGTGTGCTTTAACGAGAAGAGCTCTACCACTTGAAGCGAGTTCCCACATATGGTGGAGGATGCAGTGGGCAGAACTAGAGATCCCAGCAAGGAAGTAAGTTCATGTGTTGAACTGTGTTTGGTGCATGACTCTGCACTATCTGTGTGTGCAGGTGAGGAGATCCTGCAGAGAAAAGGAACTTTCCTTAAAGAGACAGTGCTCCATTGTGTTGCTGGACTGTGCAAAAGTGTTGTGTAGTGACTGCAAAGATGGGGCGGTCAAAACTCAAAGAAGCAAGATTTTCTGAAATGAGAGACAGAGCCCTGTGGCTGGAGGGGTTGTTATCACCAGAACAAGCCCCCTATATGGCTGCACAGAGTTTGCCACAGTGGGAAGTGCATGCTGTTGTCCCTGGCAATGCTGCTGAAAGGAAACCAGTTTTCTGTGTGCAGAGTACTAAGCCTGAAAGAGGATGCAGTGTTGGAAGTTCGGCCTAGATACCGCCGCAAGAGCGCTGTTTGCGGTGCAGTGAATGGGGGCACACTGTCTCCAAGTGCCCTTTATCCCAGCTTCCAGTGCAAGGTGACACAACCAGACAAAGGTCTGGGTATGCAATTGGGAAGCCTGCTTGGAGTTCCAGGAAGGAGCAGCAGGCTGCCCAAAAGTTTCAGAAAAATGTGGTTGCCCATAGCAACACATGTGACTTCAGGCCTGTGGACCCTGTGAGAGAAGTGTCGTCTGCAGAGGATTCTGGCAACGCAGAGATGAGAGTTCAGCACATCTGGAGGAACCTACAAAGTTCAGCTGGGAGAGTGCCATCTCCCATAGCAACAGGAGAAAACCTGACAACCAGGAGAAGGGGCTACAAGGGAGATGTGGTTCCTTATCCCAAGAAGGTTATCTGTGGAACCATACCCTGCCTGGAATGTGGTCAGTTTGGGCATGGTATCTTTACCTGCCCCAGATTATGGAATACCACTGATGAGGGTGCTACTGGGCAAAAGTCTTCATCTGCAAGCCCAGATTTGTGTTTAAAAATGTTGGCAGCCACCTCTAGCAACAGTGAGGAAGTACCTGTTGTGCCTGCAGGGGGTGCCAAGGAGTCAGAAGTGCCTGCCACAGTATCATCCTATAGCTGCATGGATGAACTGGCTGGCCAAAGCCAAGCAGAGGAGATGACCAAAGGGATCCAGATCCCACGCACTCAAGTGAAGGTGAAGCCTGTTGAAGTGGTGGGTAAGACTGGTACTTTTGAAAAAAATGTGAGAGATATTAATGCAATGATTGAGACTGACTTTGAGACTCTCTGCTATAAATTTGGGATACTCCCAGTTGGGAAACCCACTGCTGGTGATTGTGAGAAAGACTTGCCTCTGTATAATGCTTTTAGTGGGGAGGCAACGGTTAAAAATGTCAATGTGAAGAGTACTGATATTGGGGTTGCACCAATGTCATCTAAAGAGAATGCTGAATTAAATGTAGTAGGGGTGACCACTAAGCAGGATGTGTTATCTCCCCTAGCAACGGTGGTTAAGGTAACCCAGGATAACTATGGTGTTGCTCGGGTGGATCAGAGTGTATCTGAACTGAATGATGAGAATTTGTTATTTCAGTGTGGCAATGGGGAATCTAAAAGGTATGAACGTATTCATAATGATGATGGGTTAATGCAATCCACTAATGCTAAAGTTTTTGTAGTGAATGACACGCCACTAGGTCACGGTGGTGAGAGTAGGAAATTGCAACCTGCTGTGCCTAGAAAAGGAGTCTCCCATTGTGATATGGATAATGAAGATATAGGTAATGGGTCTGATACAGAGCCACTCTGTCCCTCTGTGTCTCCTTCAGCGGTTGGAGTGGTACTGCGTAGTACCTCTGATGGGATCACAGGGACAATGGACTGGGACAGATGGGCAACAAGCTTGTTGGCATTAATAAAAGATACCTCTGTTGCCAACAATGAAGTGGACACAACTTCTGCTGTGCTGAAAAGAGGGACTGTGGAGCAGCTATTAGTCCAGGGCGCTCCTGTCACTGCCAAAATTAACCCACCGCTGGTAAAAGGCACCATTGAGAATAAACGCTCAGCAGGAATTTTGCCCACAGCCCATAAAGGAGTTAATGGTGTGGTGTACCAAACTGATATCCATAGAGAAGATGTGGAAGAGCTCATTGACACTGAGCCCCAGAGAGTATTTGGGTGAATCCCACACCTGGTTACGCTCTGGGAGAGCCCCAGGTTATTGTGTTGGGTACCTCCAGCCGAGAGGAAGCCTCGTTAAGAAGCACCACCTCTGAGGCATCAGTAAATGAGTGCCTCCATGTCTCCAGGAAGGTCTTATGTGTAGAATCGGGCTGTCTATTTATAACAGACCTGCTGAGGGAAATGTTAGCCTTCTGGAGTGTACAGCCGGTGTATACCTTGCTGTCTCTTCCAAGTTCGGGAGAGCTGGTACAGTGGAGTCCCACTAATTGGAGCTGGGTATTACAGGCTATACAAAACAAACATGGTCAATATAGGAATTCTGTGATACCATCCTTGTTGGTAATGGTGAAAATTGTCTTTCAGTGCATGGCTGGGTTGCTTCATAGCAGTAATCTGTATGAGAGGCACACCAGAGTACTGTTGGACAGGACAGAGGTTTGGGCAGAAGTGCCAGAAGACACATGTATATGTGATGTGGTTGGGGTCGTCTACCCAAATGCAGAATTATGTAAGGTTGGTTTGGCATCAGGACAGTTGCTGGCAGAGTCTTTTGTGACAGCGAAGTCAATGGGTAGTGACGTTTCCATGGGAGACACCCACTCCGCTGTGTGTAATTCCTCTCCAGAAACTGCCCTGCCAACTACTAGTGAACTGAGTTCTGACAAGAGTCTTTTGGCTAATGATAAAAAGGGAAATGTGTTGATGAATTTGTATTGTCTGATTACTATGTATGATAACAAAAAGAATGGTAGACCTGGAGGTCAGGTTGACATGGTAGCTTGTCATCCTGAAAGAGGTAATGAGTGCTTAACAGGCACAAGAGAGGTTAAGAGTCTGGAAATAGGCCCCCTACAGGTTCAGGAAGGTCACTCTGGAAAAGTTTTCCAAAGGTCCAGTAAACGCCCAAGTTGTAAGAATGAAAGGTCTAAGGGAACTGGCCCAAAGCTTAACAAGGGATGTTAAAAGTGTTTGATTCCCAAATAAAAGAGCCCACCTCTATTACTCAAGTGTCTAAAAATATAACCCCATCAAAATTAAATAAAGCAAAAAGGGATGGTCTAGAGGAATTTGAGGGAGCACGTTGTAATATTACAGGTACCAGGCACTTAAAGCTTAGGCGGCAACCCCAGGTTACAAAGGGTACTGAGATTTGTAAACCCCCTAGTGGTAAAAGGACTAGCATAGTCTTAAGGAAATTAGAAAGACTGCGCTTTTGGAAGCGCACTCGTAAAAAGGCATGGGGAAGTAGTAGAGCCCAAGTAAGGGGAGACAGGGGAAGTCACCTCTTGGGGCAGGGAGTAGTGTCTCCCTTTGATGAAAATGAAGTCGGCCAGGATTGGACCTTTACAGGTGATAGCCCGCACAGAAGGTATAAAGCAAAGGTTTTAGGTTTGTGTGTTCCGCCCCCTACGGGGTCAAACAAAGGGGGGGGATATGTGGCAGTGCGGTGTCCTGCCACGGTCAAACTCAAGTTGAAAACCCTGGATTCTCAACCAGGCAGGTTGAGGGGCTCCAGAGAGTTAATGTATTGCAGAGGAAACTGACTTTTCGGTTTCCTCATTTATTCATTAAGTTTGTTTTGGGATCTGGAGCCTGGAGATTTCAAAGAGATCTGGGAGGGATGAAATCTCCAATCCGGGGTCCGTGTTTTGAGAACCCCCAGCACACTGATTGCACAGGTGTGTGCAGGCCTTTTTGTAGAGGCCTAACCAGGAGGGCTCCACCCCGGCAAACGGAGTCAGGAGGGCTCCACCCTGGGCAGACAGGGGGTCTCTGCCTTGGAGTCAGGCGGAAGCCAGACTAGCTGTGTGCTAGTGGCTATAATTTGGGAAGAGTCTGCAGGAGACAGACAGTGAACTGTGTACAAGCCAGGAGGCTGAATCTTTGTTGGTATTTCTTGATGGTGGATACCCCTGCGTGGGAAGCATTTGTGTTATGTGAACTTTCTTTTAAATAAAATTGGGCAAAAAGGCCTTAAAGAAGCGAGTTGCTGTGTGCTTTAACGAGAAGAGCTCTACCACTTGAAGTGAGTTCCCACAGTATGTATGTGTGTGTGTGTGTGTGTGTGGTGTGTGTGTGTATGTATGTATGTATGTGTATGTATGTGTGTATGTGTGTATGTATATATATGTATGTGTGTATATATATATATGTATGTGTGTGTATGTGTGTGTATGTATATGTTGTGTATGTATGTATGTGTATATATATATATATATATATATATATATATATATAGACACATTCACTCTTTTTCTTTATACGCACAGATGGTTGATGCTGGTTTTTGTACAGACAGAAGGAAAGACGCATGCTGTGTGCAGAAGAAGGAAGGGATATCAAACTGAAAAAGTTGCACAAAGTATTTTTTTTACTTCCTTTTTGGCCACTGGCCAGTTTAAGAATTTGAACTGAATGGGGCTCTAAGCTGTTTTTTAGTTTTCAATGCCAAGCTTTTTTTCCATAATTGTATTTACATATTTCAGAATACATTTCTGCTCCCTTTCTTGCAGTTGCTGTTATTATGTTATTTCCTGAAATGCTGTAATCTGTCTTTTAAAGAGGGCACATTCATAAGTCGCAAAAAGAATAAACAGGAGTGCACAAACGTCTTGAGCATTACCAACAATTTATTGTTCACAAAACATAGATGCCAAATGGATACTCACAGAAGTGGAAAATAAAATCACATAAAAACCACAATATGCCACAGCAAGGGGAATCATGTGTGTCCAGGCAACCCAGCTGGACTGGAAATTTGATGCGTTTCGGAGGCATACCTCCTTCCTCACAGCTATGCTATCCAAGCTTGCTATGGCTTTCACAAGACTACCCCAGCTGAGGAGGGCAGCACCTACTATACATTTCTAGCGAAGTTTATTATCCATTGTATATCATACATCATTTGCGGTGGTCTTTCTCTTTGGTAGACCTCTGAGCACTGAAATTTACAGAGTTTTTCATGTGTGTACACATTCCTAAGTTGACTTACAGTTGTGTTTCTCGCAGATGTAAAAGATTTATTTATGATACTTATATAGCACCATCAATTTACGCAGTGCTTTACATGTATATATATTGTACATTCACATCAGTCCCTAACCCTATAGGGGCGTACAATCTAACATACCTAACTTACATTTATACATACACATACTAGGGTCAATTTAGACTGGAGCCAATTAACCTACTAGCATGTCTTTGGAGGTGGGAGGAAACTGGAGTACCCAGAGGAAACCCATGCAGGCACAGGGAGAACATGCAAACTCCAGGCAGCAGGTGCCGTGGCTGGGATTTGAACCAATGGCCCTAGTACTGCCAGGCGGAAATGCTAACCATTTAGCCACTGTGCTGCCCATAAAGATACAAATTAAAGCCCAACTAAACTCCTTGTTAAAATTGACTAAATACATTCCAACTGTATTAAAACAAAATGTGTGAAAAGCAGCCTTAGTAAAAAAGGCCTGACTCCAACTAGCGTAATGCAAAGAAGTACCCTTGCTCTCTGTGGAGAAGCTGTAGTTTCTATACAGAGGTATGGCATACCCCTTGGTGAGTCAGCATAGAAATCACCAATCAGCATAAAACATTATTGTTGCTGAATGCAGAGTTACAGATCATAGGCACTAGGGGTATGTTTTGGACCACTGATTCCACACAGAGTATAATGGTATTTATTTAAATGTGAAGAGTGTAAACCTGGCATGAACATTTTGCAACCACTTGTACAGCAGCACTGGGCTGTCAATAAAAACAAAGTCAAGCAAAAACAGGGGCCATTGAGCAGAGGCGAGAAGCAGAACAAGTGAAGTAATATAAATATTGTTTCTTTCAAGCTTAGCAATACACTGAAACAAAAGCTTGTCGGTCCAAAACACCCAACACTCAAACACACGTGAGAAGCAACTTTGGTATGCACAGATCAACATGGTGAGGAATTAAAAGATCTGTAAATTGCAGAAGCAAAAGAAGTTCTCAACAAATGAATGGACCAACAAAGGATAGGAATTTCTACAGGTCAAGTCTACAGTGAGATGCAGATAGAGATAGATAGAGAGGACAACTCATTCACAAGAGATGTAAAAGAGACCATCCACAGTACTGTGCAAAAGTTATAGGCAGGTGTGAAGAAATCCTGTAAAGCAAGAATGCTTTCACAAATATGTATTTTAATTGTGACCGAATACAAGAGTAATCTAAATCAAATCAATATTTGGTATGACTATCCTTGGCTTCAAACCAGCATCAATTCATTTTATTAAGCTTTTTTCAAGAGGCACAAAGAAACAGACAGCGCTGAGGACCGTAGACACAGTGGTTGGCCTAGGAAACTTAATGCAGCAGATAAAAGACACATCGGCCCTGATTCACTAAGATGTGAGTCTATCAGCAGAGTCTGACCATTCAGGCAGACTCCGGTCAATCATCGTCTGACCAGCGTCTAGCAAGCTCATTAACGAGCGTCTACTGACTGACTACTTTTGCTATTACTAAATGTGGTATCCCGTCTGGCACATGTTTAGGTGCAATACCGGATATGTTCGCTAGATGGCGCACAAGCGCGGGCTTTATTAATTATTGCGTTTTTATGATGGCAAAAGAGAATTCTTAGAATGTAATAAATAGTACAACCTGTATTAGAATTTTCTATTTTCTTCTATTTCTTTTTTTTATGCTGTGTCTCCAAAATGATCAGGAAACTAAATGCATTTACTAATGAATGTCATACATTCTGTATTCAAATGTTAAACATTTTTCACACTTATATCTCAAATCATTTATATACTTCTAATTTCCCAATATAATTTTATATCTTCATTCTCTTTAATCACATAACTATTCTATGTTAAAGACAAGTGCAGCGCTATAAAATGCATGTGATCAATAATGAACGCATGTAAAAACCAAAAAGTGCAAAGAATTGCAACAATGATGTAATATTGTAAATGGTGCTAAAATAAGTTCATAGAATCATTCCTGAATAATGGAATGTCCTTCGTGTGAGAGTACCAACTCAGAGAGTGCCTATGAATGGCACGTGTGGTCTCTCCATGACGGACAGTAGTGCATGAACTCGTGAAAGGTAAACCACCCTTGGGACTGGTCTACACTCACCAGAAACAAAAGTATTAATGTGCATGGGTTATACACATCACACATCTGGGGGTGCAGCGGTATGCTGGCAGCTATGGGTTAGTCATCCAGCTCAATCCATCCATCAGGGTGGGTGCCCAAATGGTCCTGGGGAGGAATTAGCTCAGCCACAGGAGCCAGAAAGGTGCTCAATAGTGTAGTACACTGTCACAGGGGTGGATGACCTTTCACGAGTTCATGCACTACTGTTCGTGGTTTATATTTATCTTGTGTAATACCATTTTACTAGTTTATATCATTTGACAGCGCTCGCTCTATCATTTTTAAACAATGTAACTATTCTACATTATAGTTCAAACTGTGTCTCCCACAGTGGTTTAGTGGTTAGAGCTCAGAACTTACAGCACTTGGGTCATGGGTTCTAATCCCAGTCATGGCTACATCCTAAAAAATGGAGATCAATTTTCTGGGTTGTGTCAGTGCCAGGAATATTGATCAATCAATTATGATTTTGCCTAATGACTAGAAAGTGGATGAATGTTACCTATGTACTGTTCTTCTGCCAGTTAGGAAATGTGCAAGTTTCATGCCATGTATATTTCATTGTAACATTTTTTTCTCTTTTAAATCTGTCTCCTTATACAACTTGACCCCCTCCCCCCCCCCCGTCACCACCTGTCCCATATGAAAATCTATGGATCACCGCCCCACTCTTTAACTATCTATTTACTGATCAAGTGATGTGTCTCATTTTCTATCAGCTACAGCTCAGATCTCACATTAATTATACAATTGCTGATTGTATTTCACCACTAGTCTAATTGAATTCACAATTCCTGGTCAGTCCCGTTCCCTGACCTCTAATAACCTTTATGGCCAGTTCACACTACATGTGTTTCAGTTGCTTTTTCGGCATCACAAACGCACAGAAAGAAGGTTATGTGGTTGTCAATGTCATAGTTCACATCAGCGCTTGCATTTTCAGTGCATTGCAGGTGCTGTAAACAAAGCTGACCACGCTGCATTGTTTCTGCTGCACAGAACTGTACTGGAACACATTGAAACGTCCTTGAATCTACTAAAACGCACATGTCCCTAACTACATTGAATACAAAGAAAATAGAAAAAAATAAGTGGAAGGGATACAAAAATGCAATGT